ACATACTACATTTACAACTTTTATTTTATTATTATGAAATCATCAACTTATCATTAATTTTTCACAAAAATTTTATATATTTATAACAATGTACTCTTAGTTAAAATATACAATTAAAAACTTGTATCCTTTATTGTGTTATAAATTTTTTCCAGTTCCTTGCGTTTTAGTTTCTTCGCTACAAATTTCATACTCTAGTTGTCGAAAGCTTTGGCGTTAAGGCCTAGAGTTTGAGGGTCGATCGTGTCATAGAAATTTTTCAGAACGCAGAACGGCTCGATCAACGATCAACGATCAACACTCTTCCGAGTCCGATAACTCCGGTCTATCAAAAACGAAAATATCGTGCGAGTTCCACCCTGTAGAAAGGGTGGATCGGAGATGAAGTTCAGCAGCTAGATGAGCAATAACAAAAAGTAATAATAACGTCTCGTTGATGGTGTTGGCGAAAGAAAGGGGAACGAATTGAGAAATGGAGGAGAAGAAACGCAGAGAGGTTCGAGGAGGCGAGGGTAAGAACGTCGATTTTCTTTTGCGAGGAGTTGTCTCCGACGTGGCGTCAGCGCGACGTCCAAAAATAGGGGCTGTATTAGGCCGTAAGCCTGTAGTGGCTCGTTTTCGCACGGCTCACCGGACCGCGAATGCATCGTCTTCGGCTGCTAGTAATTTTAGATCTGGAGGAGACGTCGCGACGCGGCCTGAAGGATTTCTCCTCTGAAGAACGAAGAACGATATTCGCCGAGATGTATCCGAGTCGCTTTTCATCAACATTGCACAATCTCTTAACCCTCTCGTCCGTCCCTTCTATCAATTTGACACATTTCACTTCTACAATGTTACTGGTATCATTTTGTAGCACGTACTCCACAGCAGACACAGACAGTGGGTGAGGTTCAGTGACGTTTATTTCCCTGTATGTGTAACAAAAGTAGGGATGGTAATACGGTACGCCAGTGCCATTCCTTCTTAAAATCCGATACGTGATCTGATACGAGATTATTTCAAATTTTTTAAAACATTAATAAGACCATGTTTTGAGAACAATTTAATCAAGCTTGAAATGTATTATGAAAAATGGCCATTTTAAGAACTTGAACAAGCAATAAAAATCGCAAGAAACAATTCCTTAATAACACTAGAGAGAAAAAGTGTAAAAAAATTAACTACTGGATTCTATTCTTTGCAAACAAAAATCTGATATAGATTTACAAGATGTGCACTTATTATGTATTTGACCGATTTGAAATGGGACATTTGTGTGAGTATGCATTATAAATGGAATATTGATCGTTACAAAATATGTGTCGATTATGAGAGATTTCATATTATGAGGAATCTCGATCTCTGAAATATGAGTATTGAGGTTTTAATTCAGCAGTTTCTTGCTTACGGGGGCCATATTATCGTCTATTACGGGGACCAATATGGGAACCAACGCGCATTGAACATCTGCACGCAAGAGAAGGATGATTGTGTGAACTTTACACGCGATTAAATAGAACTTTAATCTGTGAAAGAATTTGCGAATTTTACTATTTATTGTTTCGTTTCATGTCAATTATTATATCAATTTCACCTTAAGAGACAAAATGACAAACGGATGAAAGTTAATAACATTTATGCTGAAGATTTCATTCGGTAAATAGATAGATTCCAGTCGTAGTTATTTTTTCAAAATTTTTGTTTAAGGTATTCAATTTTATTCCTTTCACTGTAAATACTACAAAAAGTTAGAAATACTGACAGTAAGTTGGCTGATATATATATGTCGCACAAAAATAAATCACCTGGAATACATCCCAGAGAAGCAATATAAAAGAGTAATGCAAATATTAAAAACAAAAGTTAATTAACAACTTTCTTGTAATACTATTTTTCTTCGTTCACAAGAAGAAAGCAATTAAGCAGAGTATAAAAAGTAAAGTAGTTTCAACTTTATTCATAAAATAAATTCTCACTTATCTTTTTCTTGAGTGAATATATAAGTATATATTATGCTTAGTTACCAATTAAAATATCGATAGCCATAGATGATTTCTTAACTTTAGCGCTAGCTATATAATTTTATTGAACTACTGCAACCTGATCGATGACGCAAGTTTTCCAATTATACAGAGTCGTAGTTGCATCGGTTAGTCTCTAGTGTGATAACACGTTGAAATGTACGTTCTCACGAGTAAATTTAATTCGCGTCACTTACATATCAACGGTAAAAATTAAAATTAAAAAAAAAATTTTAAACAAAATCGATATCATTCATTCATTTTACAAACAAGTTCTTCAAGTTAAGCATCAACTTAAATATTCTATACAGAGATTTTCGATTAAATGATTATACGTTTTGAAAAATATCAAAGCAAATGCAACTGCAAACTTATGCATATAAGTTTGTCGTTAAATAGTGAATTAATCCATAAATTTATCGATCCATAAATTCGAGTGTTTTCCCCGTTTCAAAAAAAAAAAAAAAAAAAAAAAAAACTTTCTGATCCGTTGATTTATATATCTACGTCTGCAGTTCAGCAAAACACGATCTAACCATGGATATCGACGAGTTCGCGACACTATCAAATAAAACTACGATTAATTGCTGCTATAACATCACATTGTAGAAGTGCTGGCCGTTTGCCAACACCGTTATTGCTGCAAATAACTTTCTATAAATAATACTTGCGACAAGCGATCTCTGTAGCCTGCTTGCATTTCGAATATAAGTCTTTGACGGAGCGACCGATCGGGATTCGTCGCTTCAATATGTATGTGCAGACATTTCTAATACAGTAATATTATTTAAAAGAAGAATTAGCATCTTCTATGTTAGACATTTTCCCACAAGGTTGTGCCTATTCTTAAATTGTTACTGTAGCACGAAAATATGATAAAATTCTGTCACAACTTCGAGAAATCTGTTCGAAACCTAATTTTGTAATTTTTTTTGTCAAGTTCACAGCTTGCTTTGGAACTGAATAATAAAATAAATAATTAAAATTGATAAGAATTATGGTCGAAGGTTACGGTCGTATATGTAGATCGGGAAGAAATTAATTTAAATTCATTCTGACGTGATAATAAATAATAATAAGATGGTTATAATATTATTACACTGCAATCACTATATAATATAATAATCACTGATATTTGAGATGATTGTGTAATAAAAATATAATAATTATTTAATATGTATTATATTAATGAATTTATACAAATGATTCTATAAATTTAACATTATCCCACTGTTCCAATACTTATGAACGAAGACGTCCGCGTTTAACAATAAAATGAGAAACGCAATTCCACAGAAAATTACTCCGTGTCACTATGAATTTATTGATTGTTGCAACTTTCCATAGTAGGGGGTGTCTGGCAACGATTTATCGAACAATTAACATCAGTCTACAACGAAATATAGTGGAGTTACTTTCTTTAACGCCAGCAAGCAACTTTGAAGAATAGCTCCGCTGCTATTTTATTATCGGTTTAAGGCACACTGTTTCATTAGCCGCGTAAATTCGGTAGTTTGAAGGTAGTTTAATGGGATCAATTTAGTTATTTTGAAGATGTACCATTACGCGTGCTCGTTTACACGGCGAGATTTCCTTGAAAAAATGTCGCGTATAAAAGGCATTAAGGATTAATAGGATCGTTCGACATTTTCACCGCGTCGCGACCTTATCGGCTATTTGATGGATCGGCCTTCCTTTCATTTTTCACTGTTCACGTAAATCCAAGTCGTTTTGAATTTAAGACAGTGAACGATTACTACAAGCTTCAAGATTCACATCGGTTGAACCCAGAAGATCGCAGGCCAATTTCTTCATTCTTATCGGCTGGTATCGTGTTCGAAGTTTGATCAATTAACAAACTTTAATAGGAACGGGTGGTATTACAAGTGTCTAAATCTAAATAATATTGATTAAACTTTTCAGTTTGTAGAATGAATGTCATTTTCTAGTGACGAAGTATGTGTGATAACTTTACAGTACAATGAAGAAGAAAAATTTATCGATGTTCTTATATGTTATTTCGAGTATGAAATTGCAGATGATATGATAAGCCTGGAATGCAAAGGAGCTCCGTTCTTCCGCCAGACGAGCTTGCCAAATATTTGACTGAAAATATCATTCTACATAAATACTGTCAAACAAGAATTCACCATTATCCATATGACTCTGTGTAATCAATGTTCAAAATAATACTAAAGTGATAGAGCTAACGTTACAGAATAAGACAAGTTTGTATATTTATAACTGATAATAGAAAGAACTTTTACGCAGCAAAGGAAAAACTTTATATCCTACTTTTCATTCCTGGAGGTTTATTCTGAAGGAACTGTTTATTCTGAAACAAGAAACAAACTGACGTACCTTTCCTTCATTTAAAAAGATATAGCTTTCTCTTTCTTAGGCGGTGCTCGTCACACGCAGTCCACCTTGTCACTATGGTTATCACACTTGGTTATTTTCTAGAATAGCTAAGAATAGCATACGAGACGATCGAGCTCAATCGTCTTCGTTGATTCGTTGAAACAAAAGGTTCGATTCGATCGAGCGTAAGTCCGTGAAGCAAACATCAATTTCACGCGTAGAAGCTCGAGCTACGACGATCCAAAGGGTTGAACGTGTCATCCTATCGAGTCCTCCTCGGATTCCCTGTTTAACGACACCGTGACGGTTGAAGGGGCGTGCGTGTATAAGTCTTTGTATGGCATCGCGAACCGTAAGAAGAAAAGAAGAAGAAGTATAAGAAGCAGAAGAAGAAGAAGAAGAAGAAGAAGGCGAGGGGCAAAGAGGAAACGGGGGAGAGCACGAGGAACGAGACAGAGGCCTGGGTAAGTTATCACTCGAGTCTGGACCAGGAATAGTCGCCATGTGGTGGCAGCCGTGGGACTGACTATTTTCGGGTAAAGACAAATTTGGCGCGATGCGCTACGAGGGAGCAAGCAAGCCTCGTGGTAGTCTCAAGTGTAAGCTTACATATGCCGGGGGGGTGTCGGCCACGACATGGAGAGGCCAATGGGATCTGTGCGGCCATTTTTAGAGGGCTCGTTGAAGCAACCGTGCTCCAAAGCTTTGGCAGCATTCAGTCTGAAGCAGTCAGCCAGTCAGGAGGATTCGCTAGAAGTTCTTGACTCGAGCTAACTCTGCTACTAACATTCGGGACTAGAGAGAGGAAATCCTCGACCTCTCGAAGGACTCGGTCCGCCTCACACGTCCAACATGGACGGCCGGTTGCCGGCCGGGACCGTACTTATCCGTCATCGAATCGAAGAGGAAGTGAGAGCAATCAGGTACATTGCCGATCGGTGAAACGTATCGGTTTTCGACCGTGTCGAAACTAGTGGATTACGTAATCGTCTGATTGGAAGATGAAACGTGGCATCGTCACGGTAGCAGGATTGTCTCCCTGGCCTTCGTCGTCGTTCAGAAGTGGTCAATTTTCATCGATCGGATAGTCGATCGATCCCGTTGAACGAAGAGGAGAACCGATCATCTCCAACGGATGGGAGTTCTTTTTTTTTTTTTTTTTTTTTTTTTTTTTTTATTTCGAACCGGGCGATGCCGTTCCGTGCTTCCTTACTTCCCATAGTGAATGCGACGTATGGAATGTAAAGAAGTATGGATCTGCGCCCAGGTGTATCACCGGACCGGAAAACACGCCGCGGGACTGGCTGTTCTCCGCGAAACCTCAACAGCTGATCATATGTTTCTCCAGGCTGATGAAGATGCCAAGATTTCGCAACGCGTCGACGAAGTCATGGAAAACGAAACGGTGCATTCTGAAATGTTTTTCAGAAACGATTCGCTTATCGACGATTCTCGTCCCTGTGGAAAAAATCAACGAGAAGAGAAACCGGAAGAGGAACCGATGCGAGAGTGCGCGATGCCAACGTTACGCGAGGTTTCTCGAGTTCGATAGACGACCGTCAGAATGGAAAGAAACACTAAGCAGCAATAATAGCCCGGTATCGGTATCTAGATGCCAGAAATAGAGGTAGTTCTCCTCGTATCTCGGAACATCTTTCCACGTCCATGTGGCCTCTCCCGTGTTCCCTATTTACGGTCTCGTCATGACTACCATGTGGTCGCCAGCTTTATTTAAATCGGCAAAATATTTCAAGGCGTTCCCAGGACCCGTTTGTCTCCCCTCCCCTCGTCGAGCAACGATTCATAAACTAGAGATTTTCTTCTTGCAGATGACGGCGATGCACCGTTCGAACAGTAAAAACCGAGGAAAAAGTGCTCTGGTGCTCTCGCTTTCATTTTTTTTTCTTTTTCTTTTTTTGCCTCTGTCTCTCTCTCTCTCTCTCTCTCTCTCTC